ACCTGTAAATCCTTGGGTCTACATATTTTGGTCAAGGCCAGGAAATCCATCTGCTGATGGAGTAGCAGAATATGCGGCACATATCAAATTTTAAGCCTACTGAAAATCCACCTAGAAATCTTTTTAAAAGCACTCAAATACTAAATAAAAGCTTGCATACTTTTTAGCTTTCCCCCAGCTCAGCTCCAGTGCTGCTATTATGTGAAGCATCTCAGAGCTGCCTGTAACTCCCCATTCAACTTATATCCACAGCTGGTGCCCCTTCACATGATGAAATCCAGAGACATAAAGACTGCTTCACAATGTGCTGCAGTATTCTCTGTTGATGTCAGAAAGTACTGACTGATAAATGTCCCCCCATCAGGACAATTTTTAGGCAAATGAAATACTTTGTTATAAGCCTGTTGTGCTCCAAGCATTGAAATTTGTGCCCAAGACTTTCCTGTAATTTACAGCACCAGCACAGCACATCCCACTTGTTCAAAGCAGGGCAGTCTCTTCTGCCTGGAGCTCTCTTGGACTGACTGCCCATGCTTGTGTCCCTCCTAGGAGTACACATATGCTCTCAGCCTGTTCTCACTTTTTTTTAATGGAAGGAAAGCATGAGCATGTGCTTTGCAATCCTTAGTACTGTCCCACCTGCAGAGTCCCCCAATGTCAAAGGGCTTGTAGCAAGAGGAAAAAGATGATGTAAGGTAAAAGTACACATAAACAATGCACTTTTCAATTTCATTTCCTGGTAGACAAAGTCCTTTTCTCCAACTGCCAAATCACATTTCCATCGGAACTGTATGTGACTTCAAAGTAATGCCTGTACTCTGAAGAAGGGCCTCAAAAGCCTGGGCAAATGATTATGAGTGTTATCACATTCTCTGCTGAGCTGTAAAGATTTCTGTGACTTTCTTCATGGTCAGGGTGACGGAGCACTGGGACAGGCTGCCCACAGGAGCTGTGGAGTCTCCTTTTCTGGAGATATTCAAGTCCTGCCTGGACGCCTACCTGTGCAGCCTGCTGTAGGCTGCCTGCTTTGCAGGGGGTTGGACTCGATGACCTCTCGAGGTCCTTTCTAGCCCCTACAATTCTGTGATTCTGTGACTGTGCACACTTTGGTAAAGTCCTCCTTATGATGCATCCATTCAGCAACTAACTGGGCATGTTTGGAAATAGTCTCCAGGGACCCTTTAGGGTTTAAGCTTCAGTCTCTGCCAAGTGACTATTGGCATTTAAGTGTCAACTGCCAGTGCACGTGCACCACTGGACATCTGCAAGATACGGTTCAATGTATTTTGAAGTGTTTTGTATTTCCATCTACTTTTCTTTGCATGCTACTTTTTTCACACATAGGATATTCCCCTATGAATCACCAACACCATTGCAATATTGTTGATCCTGAATTCTTTCCTCATGCAAGATTCCCAATAATTTCCATTAGTATCTTAACTGTATGAGTCCTCTGACCAAAAAAATCACGTAGGAAAACCCCACATGATGTTTAAACAAATCAGATCAAGAACTATTCCCTATATAAAGATTTGCTGAGTTTGTTTTCATGGCTGATGAGGTACAGAAACCAGACCTTGATGGACAGGCCAGTGACGGAGGGATGTAAAACTTCTCCTGCCTATCAGAAGGAAATCTGATCTACTTACAGTCAAGAGGAGAGAACTCAGATGAGCCCTTCTCCAACAACATTGTTGTTCTGGGACATGTTACCCAAGAGGGATTTTTCTACAGTTTTGGCTGCAGTGTTTATATTAAATAGAAACCTAATGCTGGATTGTATCTGGTAAATTCAGAGTGACAGAGATATCCAGGTGCCTGCACATGTAAATGTAATTGCTTTGTTTCTCTAAGAATGGTTTCTTAGTTTGCACAGCCAAAGAGTGGGGAGCTGTGCCCCACTGTTTCAGTTGAACTTGCTTCCTTTTTAAGATACAGGAAAAGAAAAGGCCAGCTAACTCACCAAACTGGGAGAAGTGACTTTCTGGAAGGATGGTGACACTGCATACTTTCTTTATTTTCTCCTGGGGATATGAGATACGCTGGACCTGCCTGACAAAAATACCAGTCACTGATAATCTAGCACATAATTCTCCTAGATATTAGCAGCAGCAGCTCAATGACAGACATTCTGTACTCAGCAGTACACTTTCTCATTTTTTCTCCCTCTTGCATACTTTCTGTCATACAGGCACAGGTAAGTAGCTGTCTATTCATCTAAATGAGCAGAAGTGACACAGGGTGAACAATCAGGAGGACCATAACCCTTCTCCCTATCCAGGTGCCAAACTCTCAGTTTCTTTTTTCTTTCCAGGCAGCTGCTCATTGTGCTTTTGATGGCATAGAGATCATATAGGTTGCAGGGAATAATAAAACCATAGATAAGAAAGAAGTTTGGTCCTCCTTCACCCAATACCACAGGACTGAAGATAACACTGCGTTATGCCTCTCTCATTTTAGCGATTTTTCTGGAAAGCTGCTTTATGGTTTTGTTGCAAAGAACCATTTTAAAGTCAGGGTAGAAGTCATCCCCCAAAACTATTTACTCTTCTTGATATCATACAGATGAAGTGAAGTTCTTCATTAGAGCATGCCCCATGACAAATAATGCCCTGGTAATTAAGGGTGGGGATTTTCATGCGGTGACTGATGATGCCTTGGAAAAGAGCCATGGCACTGTGCATTCAAAAGCTAAGCTATCTAAATCCTTGCAGAACTCATTTATGCTTTTGGGAATATAGGACAGGTGCGGCAGTTACTAAACCTGGATGCCTGAGTATTCACCTCTTTTTCCCAGGTGTGGGCCATTAATTCTCGCTCAGACTTGTTTAGTTCTAACAAGTCTCTTTGGAACCAGATTTTATACATACACATACACTTGATACATAGTATTTCCCTTTCAGTCTATTTTTCTACTTTGTTTTTACTCACCTTCAGCTACATAGCTTTGCTTTTTCTAACATTCTGCACATACATAAAGGTAGAAAACAATACGTTTAGTGGCAGCCTAAAAGCAGCCTTTGCATTCTTGGTATTTTGATAACCAGACATAGAGGAAGCAGTGTTGGAAGATGCTGAACTAGCAACTGGAAATACTTTCTTGTAAGAATTATTAGCAGCATAGAGAGAAAGAACAAAAGCATTGGATTCTTCCTCTCCAGGCAGTATTACAATAAAATGGATGTTTGCTATTAGAATAGAATGGCTGCTTTCTTTGCTTCGTATTTTCTAGAACAAAAGCACTGTAACTTTCCAAGGCTACAGTGAGTCAGTGCTCGAATTAGCAGTGCAGTCCTGAAATAGTGATCACCACTACTAAGCAATGCTTCCTCTCCTTTCTCTTCATCTATTCAAAAAGGCTACCTTTGACAAATCAACTATTAATAGTCAAGTTTCTACCTTAGTTAAATTATCAAATTGGATTGGGTGACATTTCTAACAGTAGCATTTTGATCTTGGTGGAGGTCAGTCCTAAAGGCAAAAAACAAACATTGTAACATGAAAATGCAAGAGCTATTAAGAAATAATAAAAAATAATAGGAAAAACTCCTACTACAGACTTTGTATTACTGGGATTTTCCCAAAAGCAATGCCATCTGCTTTGTGGTCATAAAGAATACAATCCTATTCCACAGTCTTTCTGTCCAGCTTCAAACAAATCTAAGTTGCGAGAATGGGAGTAGCAGTGAGAAAAAAAACTTCTCAGAAGACCAACAATGACAAGGTTAGAAACTTCTCTTTTCTTTTTTTTCCATGTCAAAACAGGCAGCAAGAGACTGCTACTGCTGCTTCTTAACTGTTTGTTCACTCTTCTGTCATGGCTTAGCACTCTTTGAATGATTAAACCAGAACAATAAATGGCTGGCAGGGGTGGACTACACAGCTGCATCTTTTCAGCTCTGGATGCCCTGTACACACAGGACAGAAAGCTTCAAAACCATTTAGTGTACCTGCCCACAGACACGCTTTACAAATAGTCCAAGAGACCAATTTATAGGCATATATATTTTAAAAGTATAGACAATTTCCTCTCTTCTAAAACTCAACAAAGTGAAATATCACCAAGAATTCTAAAGACATGATAGAGGAAAAAACTACAGCCAAACCACGTGCAAAAGGTAGATGTTTAATAGAAATGTGCAAATTTGAAGTAAAAAGTCCAGTGAAGGCTATCCACAAGGGAAGGGAAGGCAGGTAACTGAATGTTAACAGGAGAAAGAAGTATAGGTTGTAGTCCTATAGAAAACATTCATATTGTTTTTATTTTTGGAGAAAGAAATAACTGTCTATGAACACAGAGGTAACAACCATAAATACTGGAATAGGACAATAAATAAGATGGAGAAATAAAGCAGTTTTCACACTCTAAGCATAAGGCTGCAGAAAACCTTTTTGGTAAGCATTAAGTGAAATACTGACCAAGCACCAAACAGGAACATTTACCCCAACAGGTTCCTTTGCCCCCTACATGTTTGCCTCCAGTTCCCACAGTTAGTTTCTGTTTCTTCAGTAGTCCTTCTGCCTTGAGCTGTGATTTACTGTGTATTACTTGAAGACGCTGAAAACTTGTGGTTTTATTGTTGTTGGTGGTGTCATTTTTTAGATACCAGTCCTTCAAAACCGGGCTATGCATGTGAAAGCATACCACCATACCACCATCACAAAATTAGACAGTCTTATGGTGGACTGTTGCTACAGGCACACACCTGGAATTGGTGTGCAGAGGGCTACAGCCCTGCTCCTCACACTGAGCTCCAGAGCCAACACACGGCTCATGTGACCTAATTGACGGCCAGCAGATAAGGCATGTATTTCAGTACCATGCCTTTACAACAGCACTCCTTATGTTTTTGTGATTACTTTCTAGACTACTTCCCTCACATCCCATTTGCACTGGGGGGATTTGTCCTGCAAACACTTAAAGCACATTGTGTGAGTTTTCCCAGGACATGATGCCAGCCAAGCACCGGAGCTCCCAGTGTGCACAGAATTACATATGGACTTTAATGTTTAGAACAAGCAGGCTACACAAGAATGAGTTTGTCTGTATTTTATTTTCTTCATCTTCCTTCAAAGAAGAAGAATGATCGAATAGCCATAAAGCACTCGGAAACCCCATGGGAGCACTTTACGAGCACACAGGGAACTATGTAAGGACAGGATAATGCTTAATGCTTACCTGGAATTTTTGCTCTAGTTACAGACGGATGAATCATTGCCAGAGAAAACCGTTTCGACTGGGAAACAGAAAAACATGTGAGATATTTAATATCAGAGACTGACAAGGAAGCAGCACCCAATAGCAATGAGCGGTGCTGAGCCGTTTGCCCAGAGTAACCCTCAGAATTGTTCCGCAAATGGGGCTAATGTTCCACGGGGCGTTAAGGGGGAGGTGCGCACCGCCGGCACACCGCTGCACGCCCGGCACACGGCTGCTGAGGGCGTTTTACACACGCGGACCTTCAGAGCCGGTGACGTTACATCCCGGCACGCGCCTGGTCCGAGCTCGGGGTGCGAGCCAGGGCGGCAGGAAAGCACCAACGGCCTGCTCACAGCTTTCATCATTTTGCGATATTTACAAAGAAACGTAACCCGTAATCTCAGACATCCAAGGGGGCCGCCGTACTTTCAGCTCCGTCCCCTCGACCCGAGCTACGCATGAAGGCCGTGTCGCCCGCCCCGGAGGCCTCGGCCACCGCCTTACACCCGAGGCGAGAAAATGGCGCCCGGGGCCGGGCCGCACGAGCGCCCCCCAACGGCGGGGCGGAGCACAGAACGCTCCGAGGCAGCGCCCCGAGGCCGCCGAGGGCCCCACAGAGTCCCCACACAGACGCAGCCGCGCCCTTTAAGCGCGAGGGCGCGCGATTGGCCGTAGAGACTGCCAATCAGAGCGGGCGTTGCATCACCCCGGCGGGAGGGCGGGCGGCGATCGGCGTGCGGGGCGGGGCGGCGCGGGGCGGGTTTCGCAATCGCCGCTCGGCCGCGCTCCGCGCGTGAACGAGGAGGCTCGGGCCCGGCCGCGCCCCTCCCCTCCGCCGCCGCCCGCGCCGCC